ATATACCTATTCAAAATATAAATTTAAAAATAAAAATAAAAGCCCACAAATTGTCAACAATATTCAAAATCTATCTCCAAACACCAACTACAAAGTAAAAGCTCCAACATTTTGCTCTCTTTTACATTTTCTCAAAGCTCCACAAATTGTAATTTTATGCATACATTACATACAAATGCATAAATATAGAGAGAGAGAGAGAGATAGGGACTGGAGTTGAAAAAAAAAAGATAAAAATAAATAAAAAGTTTGTAAAAGAAGTACCTCTTGGCGGGGAGAAGGTGAAGAGGAGCATCGATGAGCTTGTACGGACGGAGGCGCGGGCATGAACGAGAAGGAGGAGGCCATTGGAGGGAAGCTTGTACGGACAGTGGCGGGAGTGAGAGTGAGAGAGGCCGCTGATGACCGTTCAAGTTTGTATATCAAGATTTTTCTTCTTTTATCGCTTTCTGGGGAATTTTTAGCGGATGGGAAGCTTTGGGTCTACACCAAGAGAATGCTTTTTTAGGCCCCCCAAAAGGTCCAGTTTTCAAATGGGCCCATACCAATCTAAGAACTTCTCCATGAGTGTTTATCCATAAATCGTTTCAAATTGGGGACTGATTCTTAAAGAGAAGTATCACTATACTCAGAGCTAGTTCGTTTAGTCGGTCACGTTCTATTATTTGATCAAATTTCAATGATTGACATTCAAATTTGGTCAAATCTCAACAAAGTATTTCTACATTATGAAGGGAGGGTTTCAGTTTCCTTCTTATTTTCTCATGAGCTAGGTAGACTTACCAAATATGAGAAATCATCCAAACCCATTTTCCTCGAAACCAAACGCCTTAGAGATACGAAAGATGGTCAATTAAGACACAAAAGTAATTTGGCTTTCATGAGTTCCCATGACCAAAGGTACCAAGAGATGAGAATTGCAACTCAACCCAACAACCCTATGTTTAGTTGGCCCAAACCCTAATGTTTTTCTTAATGGTGTGCAAATCCTAAGTTTGTTTTAACAGAAAATAATTATATAAGTATTAAGTACCACATGATGACTTAATTAGTTAATTGACCACAAATTGACAAAACACCTTCTTCTTTTTTTTCTTTTTCAAGCATCAGCGAAGTGTGCACGTACAATTCTTCTTCATGAAGAAGGGCAACTAATTAACACACAAGTACCAAAGAAGAGAACCAAATCAAGGCCATCCCTCATTTGCCACTCAACCACATGCATGAATGAATGAGTTGAGACTTCAACTTTCTCACAAGGAGCATTCTTGAAGATATATTTAAGCTTTGCTTCCCTAAATCTTGGATCAATATCTGTTTTGTTATTTGCGAATAATAGGGTCAATTACACTTTGGTCCATGATCTTTCAAATCAATCATAATTATGCCCTAATGTCAAAAAGGAAGCAAAAATATAATCGTATGATTGATAAAAGTGCTAACTCACTATGAATTTATTTGAGTATGATTCTAATTGTTTACATGATACAATAACACTTTGGACACGGACCCAAAAGTAATGTATTGGTGTTTCATAGTTGTAATGTATGTGTCGACATCTTGTCAATATGATTCACACTCTTAGTAGGTACTTTATATTCAATTCGTTTAACTTGGAAATGACGTTACTTAATATGCAATTTATTGTTTTTTTAAATAAAAAAAATTCAAAGAAGATGAGATTCTAATTTGAGAACTCTTTTAATAAATTAAAGGAGCACTGTTATTAGATCGATATTCAGTATGTATTATGCACTGGTTGGTCCATTAGGGTCCAATGAAGGCACAATCATGTTCTTTATCTATGAAGGTGCGCCAAATTTTCATGAAATTTGGTGTTAGATGGAAGCAAACTGTTTGATAAAATGCCTCAAAGAAGACTAAGGCAAGGCAAGGGGGGCAACCTCTATCCTCTACTTATGTTATTCTTCTTGTTCTTTGGACTTTTATGTTATCTAATTTGTGCATGATGTGTTTTTGTTTTTTTTTTTCATTTAAGAGTCGATTAATCTTCACTATTGGCAACAGTGTTTTCTTGCTTAGAGAAAGAAAATTCATAGATTCACCACTAGTATTATATACTTTCTTTTTCTTTTTTTGGTGAAGAAAGGGGGCTAACGCCCAACAAAGAAATTAAATAATGGCTCGAGACCTACAGACTCTAAGCAAATCTTCGCTAAAAAAGGACCTAATACTGTTAGGATGGTCCTAAAAAGTTGACAAACCCAACTCAAGATTAGCATTGGTGTCGTGCTCTCATCTCCAAATACATCGTATCTTTCAAGTCTTAACCTAATTGGTGTCGTGCTTTGGCTGATCCGTAAAAATTTGTGCTTGACTTTTAAAGACTTTTTAGAGAACACAAAAGATCTCCCCAAGTGATCAAAAAGTTCACCAAGTACATATATTTTGTCACTGCCAAAAGTGTCTTATGACAATAAAAAATTTGTGACAAACAGACAATGAGTAGTGAGCAAGTGAGTGGCTTTTCACATGGTCTTATTTATGTTCCAAAATAAAATACCATCCATGTGAGGAGGTTGGAACTTTACAACCAAAATTAAAATTATTTAATTATTAATTATTTAATTAATTAATAATGATAATTTATGAAGATATAATAGGAGATGTTCTTCTTCTCTCTCTCTCTCTCTCTCTCTCTCTCTTATCTTCTTCACGTTCTTTATGTTTAATGATTCAGTCTCAAGATCTTCCATATCCAGGTCTGAAAAAGTGTTCTTTTGTCCTCTAGTGCTTTGCCCATTTTTTTATTTGCAATCTTCTTAGAAGTTCTTGCTTTCCCATGCTGTAACGTGCATCAAGGTCAATCCATATATGATGGGAGGAGCTGCCAACCACGTTTCTAATTTTCCATGTGTTCCAAATGGTTATAATTATGGGATTTGAAAAGATGGGGTTTGAAGTTTTAGAGTTGGTAAACTTGTTATTTATCTGACTTAATAAGTATGATGAGATTTAAATGTATCGAATTTGAATTTTCTTACACAACGAATCAAAATCGTATATAAATCTTGTTGATGATGCAGATAATGTTGTGATGTTTGAAAAATGTTGCTTTTGATAGGTGGAGATGTTTGTACGTCATGGACTTTGAGCACACGAGAATTCATATAAGTTGTTGACCAAAACAAAAGGGTTCATAAGAGAAGATAACAATTTATTCTTCTTCTTTTTTTACCTCTTTAGAGGTTTATAATTTTAGGGATTAAAAAAAATACTTGTTATTTTATTACAGTGGACGGAATCGAATATGGGGAATCATCGAGCTCCTTACCACTTGAGCTAAATTGTGCCAATTCTAAGAGCCAGTGGTAAAATATTTTGCTCCACAACGACAAGGCTTGTTTTTTAACGTCCAATTAGACCTTTTTAATTCGTGTCTTGAAGAAAAGGACCAATTGGACCATTTCCCTTCTGGTTTGGTTTGGTTTGCCTTTCCGTTTTCCAATCTATTCATTCCTTCACATAATTATGGGGAAGAAGAGGGCAGCTGGTGTGGGTACCGACAATGACATAATGCGGCTAGTACAACTTTTTATAGATTGATTGAATCCTACTTGCCAAATTGTGCATCTATAATATCTCCAATATATATTATAATATTTCTTTCTTACCAGGTATGCGTAGGAGTTCTTATATTCCTGTCAATAACAATGTGACATGTGTGCATAAGTTTTTTTTTTTTTTTTTATTAATTATTTTTGCGTATGTGTCAAACTGTGATTCGCATAAAGGAGAAGTAGTATCCTATATATAATATTTGTGTATACATACTTTCTTTCTCTTTGCACTTTTTGCTCATTTATGTTTTGAGGTGCTCTTCTTTAAAACCAATGGAGTTTTGACACCAGCCAAATTCAAGCAACATTGACAAAGTTTCACCAACAACAAAAAAAAAAGAAATTTTTTTGTTTGACAAATGTCAAAATCACATTGATTGTAAGGAGGAGCTCCTTCTTAGATTTAAGGAGCCAAGTTTTTTCATATAAATAAATGCAAACAATAAAAGGGAGTCGTCGTTTGCACTCCATAATAATCATTTGTATTAATTTTTTTCCTTATAAAAAGAAAATCTGTTTAGAATGTGACCATCCAACTTAAAATCAATTGATACTAAATGCAGAAATCCAAGATATGAGATTTAATACTGTTAATATTCACACAAGCTATAAAATTTCTTGTGAATTGTATTGTACATGCATCAATAGTTGAGTCATCGAGACGTGAATAACTAGGAAAGCAAAACCTCTAGCTAATTGTTAATTATCTGGTCTCCCATATGCTAACACTGCTCCATCCACATCACCTCTCTTTCTCTCTTTCTTTCTTATTATATATAGGGTTAATCGTTTTATTAGTCTCTAAATTTAGACCCGATTTGCATTTGAGTACTTCAATTTCCAAAATGGTTCCCGTGATCCTTTAACTCTAGTTTCGTTAGGACAAATAATCTTGCCGTCAATTTTGTTAACTTTTATGTTACATGCAAGGGCAAAATGATATTTTTGTATCATAATTGATTAAAATATGAATAAAAAATTTTAAAAACTAAAAAATTAAGATTAAACTCTCTCTTCCCCCTCTATCCTGATTTCTACTCCCCACAAATTATTTTTTTTTTGGGTTTTTTATTTGATTTGATTTCATTGTTCTTTTAAAGATATAATTTTTTATTCATTTTTTTTGTTTTAATATAAAAATACCATTTTGCCCTAACATTTAACAAAAAAAGTTAACAAAATTGATGACATAACCATTTGTCCAAACAAAACTAAAGTTAAAGGGCCATGAATACAAATCGGGTCAAAATTCAGGGACTAATAAAATGATTAACTCTATAAATATTATTCTTAGCAGAAAAAGGGAGGGATTTACCACTCTCTCTTTCTCTCTCACATTCCCACTATATTAGAGAGAGAGTTTAGGATCAATGTTTGCCAAGATGTCCATCTCCAACCCCAAATATTCTCAGACTAATGACACTGAAAAATCTGGTTGGGATGGGATATAATTAGCCAGAAAAGAAAAGAAAAAGCCTTGGTAGCTGCCTCCTCTTTACTCAAAGAAAGAAAGAAAATAAATACATAGTCGAGAGACAGACAGAGAAAGAGACATCATCCAGAGCTTTCTCAAAGACAAACAGTAAAAGCACACACCTTCTCTGAGCTTAGCTGTTCTCTTTCTCTCTCTCTCTCTCTGGTCCTCCCTAGCCAATGCCCAGAAGCCCATACTCAACTTTGTCTGCATCCCAGTCTCCCCCATAACATTTCTTTTGCACCCATCAACACCTTAAAAGAACATCAAACACAGCACATCCCAAGCCTGCATAGAAATTTAGAGATCATGAAGATCCGGTGTGATGTGTGCGAGAAAGAAGAGGCCACTGTTTTCTGCTCTGCAGATGAAGCTGCTCTCTGCGATGTCTGTGATCGCCGTGTTCACTACGCAAACAAGCTGGCCGGCAAGCACAAGCGCTTCTGTCTTCTCCACCCCACTTTCAAAGACTCCCCTCTCTGTGATATATGCCAGGTAATGCATTCTCAACAGAATTCTCTGTTTTTTGCTGATAAACAATGATAATTTTCAATACAAAGTGCTCTGGTTTCTCATTTTCTTGGTGGGTTTTGCAGGAGAGGCGCGGATTTCTGTTTTGTCAACAAGACAGAGCTATTCTTTGCAGAGAATGCGACTTTTCGATTCACAAAACCAATGAGCACACACAGAAGCACAACAGGTTTGTTCTTCCAGGCGTTAAGCTCTCAGCTGCTGCTTCTTTATATCCAACCTCATCCTCCTCATGCTCTGGCTTCTCTCAAGTGGCCAATACCACTGATGCAAGAGCCTCCAAGTCTTCTTCAAAGATACCCAAAACAGTTTCTGATGAGGCCTTGAATTGCTCCCCATCAGTGGAGCAAACGACGTCGTCTTCCTCCTACAAGACAGGAGAGAATTGTGGCAGTGACAATGGCTCTGTTTCAACAAGCAGCATATCAGAGTATCTGATGGAGACGCTGCCTGGGTGGCATGTAGAAGACTTTTTCGATTTTTCGTTTGCTCCCGATGGTTTCTGAGGTTGGCAGCACACCTTACATCTAGAGAAATTTGAAAAAACCAAAGAGAAAAAGAAGCCATTGTTATGGTGATGTATATTTGGCTGATAACAAGGCCAATTTTGCTGGTGTCTTTTTGTGGGATTTGCTCTGGTTTTGGTGAAGCAAGATCTTGAAAACAACATAAGTTTTTTTTTGTCATCAGAACAATTTGGCCATCTGGGTAGCTCAAGTTTCACCTGCAACTCCATATGACCCCGAGACTGGTTTTACAAATATGATGAATAAAAATAAAAAGGCAGTCCAGTTCAGTTCAGTTCAGCAGAGGAAGGGGGCTGATGCTGGTCTCTCAGTTCCTTCAAGAAATCCGAAGCTGTTGATAATCTGTTGTATAAACATATCTTTTTCAAGGTTTTTATTTGATAATGGTTGTTCCAAAAGTGTGCTTTCCTTTTTCTGTCATGGGAGTGAGTGTCCTCATGCTTTATTTCAACTTCACAAGTTTATGCAAGTCCTTGTGGAATGCCTATTTTAATCCTTAACTGTTACTGGATATGGATGGTTCCCCAAAAGAAAGGGAACTACCAAAGAAACATTTGAAAAGGTTTTGACTTTCAAGCAATCGCAGCTTCAACTTCTCTATAGAGCTAATAGGGTGTGAGGAACAGAGGCAAAGACAGAGGACATAGATATAGATACAGATACAGAGAGGGGGTAGTGCAACTGGAATAGCAAAGTCATTCCCATCGTTTAATATTAGGGGCAAGCAAGGTGCAGATTGGTTTGGTTTCATCCAAAGCTGCGGCCTAACTAATTACAATATAGAATGGTTTGATTTGGTTCGGTTCGGTTTTGACAAAAATCACGAAAGAAACTGAACCAAATCAAACTAATGCATCCATGCAAGTCAAATCCGAAATCTACTCGCATCTACATTCTGTTCATTGAACATTATTTTTATGGTGACTTAAAAGATTGGCTCAATATCAGTGAAAACCACAATGCAAACAACCCACTATGTTCTCTCTTTTTTTTGGGTAAATAAACCCACTATGTTGTAGGAAACAAGATAACTACTCATTTATTTACCACCCAAAAACAAAAACAAAAACAAAAAAAGTCAACCCTAAAATCCCACCGTGCATATTTCTGCTTCAAGAAATGACAGAGGAATGACCCAAAAGAAAAGAAGAGTGAAATAATGAATTAACATTGCAGAGGTGGAAGAATATTGCTTCTTAAGCATTACATTGTTTTTTCTTTTTCTATACATGGTTTCAATCACAACATTTTGCTGCATACTCCATACAAAGCAACATTCTGCATCTCAAACTCCCAAATTTGATTGGTTTCTATTTCCCAACTTTGTCCCTTGTTATTTTACAGGACCCAGGTGAGAGAGATAGAAACAAAATATTGATATACCTTTTACACAGTTTACATACAGGCAAACTAATTAAAGAATCGCACCCGCTATTTCACATAAAACAGAATCATGATAAGGCCCTGCAAAATAAAAAGTTGAAAACAAAATGAAAACCATCCTCGTTAAATTACCGATCCAATACTGCAAATCGATGAAATAAATGTTATGGCATCGCCCTCTTATAAGGAACCTTAGCAGATAGGATTTGCTTTTTTTTCAAATCCGAAAAATAATCAAGGGAAAAAAAAATATATTAACATATTGCATTACCTTCATTTGAGGGCATACAACAGTGTTATGAGGTAAATGCAAAAAGCCTATCTGCAATCTTTGTACGACAAATTGGGCACTCGGAACAAGCAAGTGAACAAGATTTACACACTGCAAAAGGTACCATAGTTACTTACCATGAGAAATGATGAGCATATATTGTTTTTTTTAAAACACAGCTTCAGAATGACTTACAACAAAAATGCCGGCAGGGCAGAAGAATTGCTGCAGTTGGTGATTCAAAACATACTTTACACAGATGGGAATTGGCATCTCCGTTGCCCTGGTGTTTGAGCTCTTTGTCCTTCATCTCTTGCATTCGAGCCTGAAAAAATAAAAGGATGGTGCACAAAAACAGTCAAGCTTTTAATCTAATTTACAATATAATTCATTAATCTTTTTCTTCTTAAGCAGATTTGACCTCCACATGCTTTTCCCAAAAATGGCTGATCCCTCACAATCATAAGCATGATAACATCTAGAATAAAACCATTTTGATTGAGCCAAGTGGGCCTAATCTCTATGCAAAGATGTTTTAGGTCCAAACTTAGTGACTTAAGAAAATATCATCCTTTTAAATTTATGTAGTAGTAGCCTCCTTTAGTTTTCATGTTCTCAAAGCCATTAAAACATCATTGAGAGCTTTTGTCTCATTGGTTTAAAAACACTAAACAAACCTTAAAACAGAATCAATCATCTCTTAATATGTCTCCCGAACAAATTGCAAAAGAATTCCAAAACAATCTAGAACAATAACGTTAAAAGATAATGCAGATTGTCAGGTTACCTTGAGGCGAAGAACGAGAGGTTCTTCCATAGGACTTTCATCATCAGCTGGTTTCGAAACATCCAAAACTTGTCTCTCTTTGGGGACAGTATTACTGTCACTTGTTTTTAAACCATTACTATTTCTCATCACATCATTGTGCCTTTCTTCTGTGTGTGTCTCAGGGATAGATCCACCCTCTTTTTTTAATTTTGCAACCAACACCCACATGTTTGCTAAATCATTTTCTAGAGCTTCCTCCCTTTTCTTTGCATCTTCAACCTTTTTTCTGTATTCCTCTTCTACAAATTCCTTTTCAGCAAGGGCAGCCTCAAGAGCTGCCTCTCGCTGTTTCCTTGCCTGAAGTTCCATCTTTAAATCATCAGCATCAAGATTCCATGACTCAAAGTCATCAGACATCCCTGATATCTCATTAGCACGACCAGAGAGCCTCCCTTTCCTCCCAGATCTTGCTCCATCATTGTACTTGCGGTTAGCACCATTAACAGGTTGCATAACAGAGCTTCTAGAATTGGCCAACTCCCGAGCAGCCAACAACTCTTTCTCTAGTTTTGCACTCTGCAGTGAGAGCTTTGTCACTTCACCAGCCAAATTCTTCAACTCCACAGCAGCAGCAGATGCCAGTTCTTTTGCATACGAAGCTTCTTCGGCCAGTTTTTGATTTTGCACATGTAACCCACTGTTCTCTTCTGAGAACTGGACGTGCTCCAGCTTTAGTTTCTCATTCTCTATCTCCTATGAGAAGGAACAAAAGCATCAACCAGTTAGAAGTATAGCATGAAACCTAAAGCAACCTCTTACATTAGTACAATAGCATCTTCAGGCACGATACAAGAAAGATTAAAAACTGATATTAATGAAGTCATGCGAAAACAAAAAAGAAATGACTACACAAAACTATAGACTGCACCATTCTAACAAAAGAAAAAATTGTCACTATCAAGTAATAATGACAGAGGAACTATAGGTTCTACATGAAAGCTCACATGAATTAACCAAGAATAATAAACTAAAACAGGAGTGCAAGTCAAGAGTATGGCAAAATACTTCGACACTAATGGTAACAGCTAAAAACTACTAATCTATCAAGCTCTATGGATTTATAAGCTAGAAAGTTCAAATAATCACCTGAGACTGAATTTTCTTTTTGAGCTCCTCAACATATTCTTCAGATACACAGTGCTCGGAAGACGTTTCACCAGACACTGAAGCCAAACGTCGCTCTAACTGATTCACTTTTTCGTGCAATTCCACGTTCTCTGCACACTGCAAATAAACAAAGATAGCTCAGAAATATAACAAGAGGAAATAAAAGTCTGCACTGAAACACGGAAGAAAGCTTCAGATAAATCAGCCGGATAGAATAAAAAATTAATCAAAGAATATGACTGAAAGGAACCAAGGAAGATGAAATATTCTAACCTTATTTTGCAATTGCTCCTGAAGAATACGATTGTCTGCTGATTTTATCTGCATGAACGTTACACTTAAAAGAATAAATTATACCGCCATTATAATGCATTGGGCAAATGTTATAACATCAAAAAGAAAACTAAAAATTAAAGTGTTGCATGAAATTTATAAATGAAACACTGCCCATTTAATGTCCATCATACTGATATACTAATACATTCACTCACTTCCAACTCAAATCCCTTCTCATTGCACTGGGTCGTCAGTCTTTTAACTGTCTGTTGCAGAAGAAAATGAAAGTGATTAAAACAAAGCTTCAGCTATCTGTTGACAACAGTAGAACAAAAAATGAGAACTACTTATAATAATGAAGATGATGAGAACGCAAAACTACCTGCTGCATCTCAACTAAAGATGCATTGGCAATTGAAGCCTCGCCACTTTCGTTTATGCGCTGTTCTAAAACTCTCATTTGCCTTCTCTTTTCATGGATATCACGTTCCAAGTTCTCAATCTGTAAGCATGCATGGTTGTTCATTAGGGTCATTTTAAGGAAAATAAACATACTTCTGCCGCTGCCAAATGAAGCTGTAAACTCCTAAATTATTTAGGATGGTGAATGCTAAATTTTTAAAAAGGAATGCATATTAGCACTTCTAAAAATAATGATGCGGAATAGGATTACTAAGAATAAATGGAATTTATACTTGAGTTTTCGCGCTATCAGGATCATTTACAGACTGCTCCACCAATCGCTTCAAGGAGCTGGTGCCAAGTGCAATCTCTCCAGCAAGCATCTTAACTTGCTCAACAAGCAGGTCTATATGATCTGACATTGTCATTCCTCCCTAAAGTACATTAAAATAAGCAGTCATACTTACATCAAAACAATGAATGATTAGTACTTAAATGAAAATATGACTATTTTAGCCAACCAACGAAATCATAGACACTCACCCAAAGAGAATTATTAATAACCATAAGTTTGTTCATAAGAGATACAGTTGTATTAGGTGGCAATCAAAGCAAATAGTGTATAGACAAAACTTCATGCCACATCCTAATTTGATAATTGTTTGTAAGTAAAATTAAGACTTCCTGATTTGACAATTGCATGTCTAAGTTGTGAACAGAAAAAATATATACAGGAAGAATTGACAAAAATCTGGAAAATAGAGAAGATATCTCCCTACAAATCCTATGTGTAAACTCCTCCAAGGGTATGCTTGTATGTCTACAATATGCAGTGTGCCTACACCGATATATATGTGTTTGCATGCACACATGTGGGAAAGAAATGAGCACGTTTCACTTCCCTCTTCCTCAGTACCTCTCAGAATTTTTTTGCAAGATTACTAGGTAAAGTAATCGACCTTTATATGCAAAATGGCGACAAAGCCAAAGTAAACGAAAAATAGCATAACTTACCATTGGATGTCTCGAACCACTGATAAGTTCACCGGCTTGAGTTGATTCCGTAATTGTACTGCTAGCTGGTGAGAGATCGTCATTCCACCTGCTGGAAGATCTTTTGTGTCTAAAATCATTAGCCAGATCTGATGGAACAGCAGAGACAGAAGACGGTGACTCCTTCTGGTTCTCACTCTCTAGGAGCAAGGGCCCATCTCGCACTACTTCTACTTTCTGACAGAGAAAAGTCACAAAATGTAAGCATCTGACCATGCTTTTCCCATCAGAAAACAAGAAGTACGAAGGATCTGTTGTCACGATAAATCCTTTTTAAGAGCATAATAAACTAGAAATTCAGTCACACACACACACATACAAAATGCATGAATATCAAAATTGAAGTGATAGGAAATGAAATCCTTTTCTTATTTACTAAAGTAAGCAAGCAAACAGTGACAGGAAACATGCATCCTTGTCTATATAGCTTACAAAACAAAAGTAACTTCTCCAACATTCAGCATAATATTTTTCCTAGCTTATGATTGGTCTCATTTTGAATAAATATTATCAACATTCAAAGCTCAAACAACTAAGCTAAAGAAAGGGGAAGAAAACAACAGCACAGACCATGCTATAATCTACAACTTCATTGGGTAAGGAACTCACATCATCCTCACCAACTGAATAACTACGCTGGTGGCTGGGAATATCACCCAAACATCCAGGAATTGTATTTTTTGAAGAAACAAGAATGAGCTTTGTCAGCCTCTGGATTCTACTCATAAGAGCAGCCTTCGCTTCCTCTTCTTCCTCCAATCTTGATTGCATTTTAAATTGACCTTCTTCCAACTATTTCCAAAGAGCAATGATCATATGTAAATCTTAGTCAAACTCATAGTAAGCCATTGCCACCATCAAACAAAACTGATATCATTTCAAAAGCAAAACCTTTTGTTTTAAGGTGATAATCTCCTCATGGCTGATGCCAACAAGCATCCCCTTCCTTAGCTGATCAAGTTCTTCTTTAAGGACCGAAATTTCTCTTTGATACTTCTTAATCAAAGACTTCTCATCAATAATCTGCTATAAATAATTTCAAAAAATAAAACAGAAAACAAAGAGCAGAATTGTGAGCTTAAGTGTTTACTTTTGAGTATTGTTTTAAAACATTATTCATGCAATGAATTGTAGCACACCTTATTGCGCGATGCATAGATTTCTACTCGCTTTGCCCTGCTTGCAAATTTCAATGTATTATGAGTTTCCTCCATGCTGCTTGATGCAGGGGTAACAGTGCAAATAAGCTGGGAACATATGCATAAGAACAAAATAAAGGCAAGTTATAATAGTTTTAATTGCATAAACTTTCAGAACAGTTGATTCAAAAGCACATCCCCTGGTAAGGTGTTTTTTTTTTTTGGGGGTCCAAAATCTACATTGGAGAGGTTTTTAAACAAACAATAAACAATGAAAAAATCAACAGAAGGCCATGGGAAAAAGTAAATCATGTATATTACACATTACATGATTTACAACAAAAATGGAATAATGTGCTAACAATTGTAGCATTCAAACTCACCGAAACATGACCATGCCCACCTAACGAGGATTGCAGAAGGCGGGTAAGCTTAGAATCTCGATATGGAACGTGGGATGCCTTTCCCTCACTCAGTTTTCCTATTACCTTCATTGCAACCATACAACCAAGTTACGAGCAAAAGATTAGCTTGTTTATCTTTTCACCAGAAACATTAAAATGATTTATAAAAATAGTGACCATTTTCTTGGTAAAACTGAATACAGTGACCATTAAACAATAAAGCAATATAAAGTTCCTCTCAGCTAGAAGTGAAAGTGCATCAGCATCGTGTTGCATAAACATTGTCACCAAATACAGTCTTTCATGTGGCTGGAATGGTGTGCATGAAGGCTTTGCTTAGGCTTGGGAAAATAGATTATGCAAATTATGTAGTAAATAGTCTATAATAATATATTTAAAAAAGGCCAACAAAATTTCTACGTTTGGTAATATAATTGAATTGTCAGGTACTTACAGTTCCAAGAGTTAGAAGGCTCTTGTTTATGTAAGATCCTTCCTTTCTTCTTAGTCCAGTTGTTTCGGTTTTCGAGCTCTCAGATCCAGCAAGATCAATCAAATTCTAAAGAAAACAAACAAACAAAAGATTACGACTAAACATACATGTATATAAATAAACAATCTAATATTTCAGAATGAAAATTTAATTGAGCCATACAAGTTGAGAGAAGATCACTCCATCATATTCATCACCATGGGCACTACTTTCAATCATCTGCAAATGCATCGGTCAGTTAAAAATTAATTAGCAGAAATGTAGCAGAATTGATAGCATTCGCAATTCCATGTGCAGAAATGAAGAGATAGAAAATTAATCTCACAGAATGCAAAAATTTTACAAATAAAAATAGGCAACTCCTAAATACGATTACTGCCCAAATTATTATAAGGAGCAGTTAACCATGTATTATCCAGGAAAATATTATTTGAAATCATTTCATTCACAAATTTTAAAAAGTTATTTATGTGTTCCAGAAGGAATACCAAAGGCTCAAATAAGTAACAGCGTGATACGGTTTATATTTTATTTAACAGTGACTTACTTGTTGCTTTATTAATGAACGCATTGCATGTCTTGGTTTGTGCACATATTGGTCTATCCACATTGATAAAAGATACAATACCAAACACAATCTCAAAACTATAGATTGAATAGTTGGCAACTTATCACAATCAAGGCAGTACAATTCATTGATACATAACGAAGAATGGTTACCAGTGTAAATATGGTGTGGCTTCGACTACTCAACAGATTAAAATTGTTGGATCCGACATGACGATGTTCTGCCATTACCATGCACCAGTTAAAAACTCAGTAAAAAAATCATCTTTAACCTAATAAAATTGGGAGAAAAACTAAAGTCATCACTACAAGTAAGTACCTTCTCCAGCAGCAATAAAAGAAAGCGCATGCCCAGGAGACAAAACAACTTCTTCCTTTATACCCTCAACATATGTACCCTGAAAATATAAGCATAATGACACAGACAAATGATAAATCCGGCAACAAACTAAATGTACTTACAAAAATTAAGCTTTAAAAAGTACATAAGTACCCAAAAAATAATCGAATAAGACATAAAAAGGCCTTAGAAAGCAAATAGATACAGTTAAATAAGGACTTCCAATAAAAGGTAAGTAACAAACCTGTGAATCTTCTCTCACACGCAAATTTTGACCTGTTGGATCAAGCAAGTCATTTATCACCTGATATCAGATGCACAAATAGCACCAGAAATCAATACAAATAAGAATGATGAACATAGCAAGAAACTTTGACTTAGACAACAACTAAAGTCTCCATGTTAAGGCTAACACAAAAACTAAGAAGGACAAAAAGAGCCATCTGTCAAGTAGAAAATTAGATCATGAATATGAAAACAAATAAATGATGGTTGAAAGAAATCCCAAAGTTTAAATTATAGAGCTTATTTTCATAACTAAGAAGAATGATAAACACATTTTACCAGGAAAGGAATGAGCTACCGTATAATCTGAAGCCTTAAATGTGACTGCCAATAAGAATAGTTCTACTAACCTCATTGTAGATCTCAAGATATGAGACACGAAGTAAAAACTCCCTCCCTGGGGTCTGAAATGAGAATGCAACTTTCAGTTAGTCATCACAGCAGGCAACTCAAGTAAGTCATTTGTTAGTATCAACAAAAACAGAAAATAAACCTTCCATGAGTATACAAGGCAAAGCAAATAGTCATATACTATTGGCAAGGTAAGAAAGAATGCAAGATAAATTAGTCCACAGAAACTAGTATATAGAACTCTGGTCTGTCAAGTATTAAATTGGTTCAATAAACCTAAAACTCCATGTCCATGATACAATTATGGAACACTGGTCTGTTAAGTATTTTATTGATCACAGAAACCAGCAGAAGATACAATTAACAGTCTATAAAGTAAATTACTGTGATAACTTGCTCAATAAAACATATTGCAATCAGGACGAGTATGTTTTAAATCATAATGCAACATCAGTGTGCAACATCCTGTACAAAATAAAACTGACAAGATCCTGGGGCAACGTTAAATTGAAGGGAAAGGGTGGAGGAACAAAGAACAACTCATACAAAATTCATAGGTGCACTTACATCTTGGATAATACTGAAGACATCCTTTATCGCCAATGGTATAATACCTGGAGAGTTTTGATCTCCCTGTGTATGATGAGAAATGAGTTAAGTAACAGTATTGTTATTGTCCATGGAATATACCATAATAGTGAGAAAGTTTCACAACATTGCAAGGTAACAGAAACAAGAAATATCGAGTACGGTATTCATAAAGTAAAATGTAGGGTAAAACACAAACATATGGTGAAGATCATAGAAGATAACAAATACGTCCAAAAGATGATATTGTTGCAGAATCTACAATTGGACTTTGCTTCATAACAATGTTCCAAAGTAAACGAGTTCAACATAACTACATGTTCGTGCATAAAAAGTTATTTGTCTACATTTCTGCTAAGCAAAAGCCAAACCTAAGACTTCCCCAAGTGCACCTTAAAAAACTTAATCATTTATAGCCTCCTTAAATTAGATATTGATAGTTATTTAGATAGGTGCCACCAGGGGTATTTTGACTTGCTCAAAGAATTAGAAAAAAAACGACCATTGACAATTTGATGATCAATGGAATTGTGCCTTAGGGAGGGTCTCTTTACATATTGTAAGAATGCAGAAGAGTCTAACTTATACTCTGTCTTGTAGCTTGGGAGCTTTTGGCATTTACTCTTGCACTTTAGGATTCCAATGGGCTAAATTAGGTCCTGTTAGTCTGTTCCGGGGTAGCATGGTAGATTTGTAAAGACCAAAAGCTATCTGGAGACCGGCTCCTTTAAGTATCATGTGGTTCTTGTGGCTTGATTAGTTGAGAGACATGAAAAGATTTTGAGGGAGTGGAACACTACATGAAGTAGTTCTCCATTAATCATTAATCATTTATTTTTGCAGGGCCATACAAGGAAGTTTAAATTTACTTGCCTAATGTGGAACCAAACAGGCCATCATGGTTTTTAACATTCATAGGCTTTCAGTAGCAAAAGCCCAAGAAAAGACGGTGGAACTTACATGCATAGTGTGTGTCTTTCCACTACTTGTCACACCATAAGCAAAAACAGTACCTGCATTGTTAGTAACCAAGCCATAAGATAAGGCAAATTAACAAGAGAACTGAATGAAATTTAATTAATTAACTTTTTTCAAATAAAGCTAATAGACTTTTCGTTACAAGCAATAACGAATTCTCCCTACAAGAGCAGTATGTCATACCATTGACACCTTCCATGGCAGCTTTGACAACAGGTTTAGCTGCAACCTCGTACACCTCTTGTGAATTGGCATGCTGTCCAAAAACTCTATCTGCAACAACAAAACCATCCTCAAATCCAACAATTTAAAAACCCTGTAATTTCTACGTTAAATGCAAATGAATTCTAACACATTTTCTTTTGAATTTACCAAAACCGAATTAGATTCACATTCAAATTTTCAAATTTGGAATTACAATTAATAACAATTAAGACAATACCAAATGCATATGCTGTAGCTGGATTGTACTCATTCCTCACTATCTTATCACCGTCTGCGTACCAAGTGATCTCGTCCCCTCTCTGAAACTCCCTCTCGCTGCAAGAAAACGCCCCAAAAGCAAAACCATTCAATCACATTACCTCGAGACCAAACCCTAGAACCAAACGGTTCAAAATCCGCCAATCCCAAACCCAACAGATCTGATCCAATACGCTCAGATCTACCATTATTACCTCAGCGGCCTAAACCGAATCGTGACCGATATGCTATCCCCACCCCTCGGCGCCTCGAGCATCTCCGCCAAAAGCTCCTCCGACGCGAAGCCCACCGGCGAGCGAGTACTATAACCGCCTGAACCGTACTGCATTGAATCGGAGCGGCCGCGACTCGGCGTCATGGATCGGGACCCGAGTCCACCTCCCGAGTTGTAAAACGACGTCGCTGAGGTCGAGCAGGAGCGCGGAATGATCCGGCCGTTCATCAACGAAGACGAGGACGAGGTCGACGAGTAGGGGCTGGAGGGCTTGCGGTAGGAGAAAGGCGAGCTGCTGCGGGCTCGTGAGGATGAGGCCATCCAGCTGAGTCAACACGTACGGTGACTCGGAGAGAGGAAAATGCAGCAATTTAAAAACAAAAACAAACGATGTGAAGGAGGAGGAGGAAGAAGAAGAAGAAGAAGTAAAAGAAGAGCAAAGAGAGAGAATATGTCAGAGAGGTCACATGGCTTGCGAGCCAAAAGCGAAGAACATTGTTTTTCCTTTTTTATTTATTGAATTAAAGCTTGCAGCTATTATTCTTCTTCACTCTCTCACACTGTGTGCGCGACTGTAGAGAGAGAAACTGAGGGGGAGAGAGAGAGGGAGTTTCGTCTTCTTTAAGACAAAGTGAGAGTTGCAGAGAGAGAGAGAGAGAGGGACTAATAACCGGTGAGTGGTGAGAGTGAGAACGACGGTAGTGGATTAAATTTTGAAATTTTAAAAAATAAAATATTTAAATTACTTGTGGTGACGTGGCGAAGTGGTTTAAATTTGGTGAAGGCAGGCAACCGCGCGCATTATGTATTAAAAAGATGGACTTTGAAAAATAAAAACGCTACGAATGAGCGGGAATAACAGCGGCCGCCGATTAAGACAATTTATATAATGCCAAAAAAATACCATTTAATTTATATAATGCATTGTATTCTTGCATCCATTGAACGATATTCATCGTTTCCTTTTCCAAAAATGTCATTTAATTATTTTTTGGGTTTTGTAAATTTTATTATGTGCTAGTAAATAGTAAATATTTACACATAGTTAAATTAGGCTAGTAGTCAGAGTAATAAATCCGCTACTTGCACGCAAGTTTGTATCCCTTTACACATAGATTATTATCAAACATTTGAAGAGGAGTTCGGCTCTTGCTAGCCCAACATATTTCAATTGCATATTTTGAAGTGATTTGCAATCTAAGTGTCCTTTGGCATTGCTTATTTACGGTGATAAGTGATTTTTAAAAAAATTTGGGAAGCCCAACCCGTTTAGTAAACTATGAGAAAATCACTTATTGTTCAAAATTATTGTGAAAGAAAACTATAAGGGAAAGCAACTAATTGGGTGTTTTCATTTTCTGATTATGCGGGAATCAGTTTCGAAGATGTGCTGGGTTTAATGATTATACGGGAATTATTTTCTGATTATGCGGGAATCAGTACCAACAACACTTTTAACAAAGAGTTTACCAAATACCAAACTACTTTCTCTCATAACAAATCTGATAGCAATTATTTTCACAGCACAATAATGTCAAACTGGCCAGTCTAATAAATAAAAAAAACCCCCATATTAATACCTCATTTGAGGTCTCCAAGCCATGATTTCACTCTATATTTGTTAAATACTTATGAGCTTGGACAAATGTGTTTAGGGATAAGCATGGTAGATTTCTTGAATATATGATGGAGATGAGTGATATGTAATAGAAGTCTTGTTTGCAAGAATGCATGTAATGGTTGGTGAGGTGTGTGTGGATAAATTAGTTTTTTTTAAGACATTTTTTATTAAGAAGGGCGATAGCATACTAAACTCTCTCTCTCACACACACACACACACACACACACTACATGGATGCTATGACTCGAACCCAGAATCTTTTCCAATGGAGGAATTGCTCCAAATCACTACACTATTGGGTCATTTGCATATGATGATGAACTAGGTTTAATTTTGAAGTATGATGTCTCTTATTGTATTTTAAACCTATAGTGAAATTAAGAAAAAAGAATAAATCAACACTAGGGTGACTCAAATCAATATTGAGTTTTAACATAAAAACTTGGTAAAATTGATATCATAAATTGGTAATTAAAAGTTAATTTCATTAAAAAGAGAATATTAAAAAATGTGGTTACATGTCACCACCCGAGTTTAACCTAATGGAAAAGGACATTGACTTGCAAACCAGTTGTCTCATGTTTGAACTACCATAACACTTTAGTAGTGTGTGTCCCTTATAGTTTAGACTATCGCTTGTATTAAAAAAAAATTATAGTTATATGTTAATTGAGGCTGTTCAACGAACTACTTGGCTCAATGCCCAATCGTCTTTATTTAATTAATGTTTTGAGGGCTGTTTTGTGTATTAATTTACTATATTGAATGGTTAATGTAAGTAGTTGTAGCTAATGCTTTGGCATATTTGAAATAAATTTATATTCAAATAAATTTAAATGTCACGTTGACTAGGAATAATGGGATTTGTAGTATACTCCATCAAAGCTTAAACTTGTTATATAAAAAAGGAATTGGATGAGAGCATCTTACCCAAACGTGTTTCAATGTATTTACAATTTAACTATATTTTTTTTTTCTCTTTATTTATTTTATAAGATACTTAAATAACAAAAATAAAATTTATTTTTATAAGGATTTTTTGTCCGACCAAGACCAATCATGGCCGGCATGACAACAAAATTGTCGTTGAGGAATAAAAAAAATTCCTCGTCGATTATTTGTTAGATGATAAGAGTTAAAATAAAAAAAATAAAATAAAAAATTATTGTGAATAAATTAAGACGGCAAAAGAGTTGCCATACTTACGAAATAAACCAGTGTCTTTTTCAGAATGTACATACATGTAGTTCATGATCCGACTGATGGATAGTCCAACTACCAGTCTTCTTAGATTAGAAAGATGGAAATTCCCATTGTTTGGCTGAAAAACTTATCAAATTAGAGAGAGAAAAAAAAAATATTGCCAAACACTGCAAGCCTCAACAGTGACTGCCTCCTGCTCCTCAGATTTGGGTACCATTGGGTCATGCAGTAGGGGCTTCATGCTCTCTAGTGTCTCCATTGTGGGAGCCATTATGTTGACCTGCAGACGCACAACGGGACAAATGGGGTCAGGCTACCTCATGGATATCAGAAAAAATAGCTATAGAGTCCTCAGGCTATCCCATGACTGGCATATGGGGCGACCCTAGATGCACACAAGGTGATCGACTAAAGATGATGGATTAATTTTTTTATATTATTTTGGGTAGTTTAGATGTAAGTTTCTATTATTTTGGAAGAAAAGAAGACTTTCGTATGTTATTTGGATTGTGGTATATCTAATCTTGACTATGGAATATATATTAATATTGAAGGTTGTTATTCTTTAACTATCAGTTTGGTGACAAATGAAGGAGGTCAACAACAAAAATTGTCGAAGTTAGGAATGGAGAGGGACGTTTCCTCACATACACACACTGACAGTGCGATGCGAATGTGCCATGAGAGTTTCAATCTGAAACTATTGGTATGTAAATTGATGCTCTTTTTCATTGACATATATCTCGTTGGCAAAGTTATATACATTCAATAATTGGGTTTATCCCCAATGTAATTTCATGATCCGAATTGTTCATAAGCAAATTTATTGCCATTTTACTTACACTTAATAAGCAGTGGTTGAGAATCATAATAACGTGAAACCCATGATGTGAGGGAGACAAACCTCTTTAGAGATATTTAAAAATAAAAAATAAGCTTTTTTATTATAAAAAAATCCATGCTAATAATAATCCATTGCAATAATAAACTACCAACTAAAATAATAACATTATTAAATTAGCCAGTGGTCTCATTTGCAACTTTCCAATGGACAAGTCCAAAAAATTCAGGTAGGTTTTAGGACTCAACAGTGCGAATAAAAACGAGCAGGCCTTTTGGACGGTGGAGAGTTAACATAGCTTCCCATGTGATGGGCGGCGTACTTTTACCTCCCGCGCCTTACACGTCGGATTTGGAAGGCAACGTGATGAAGGCATTTTGATGTTGTGGTGGGGCTACTTTCGTCTTTTCGTATCCTCCGTGAGCTCGTTGTCCAGCGGTTTATCTAAAATCATGAGAGACGTGTCTAAGACAAAGAAAAGAAAACCTCTCCATATATCAGCAAAAATATGTACTCAAATTATTCCCATTTCTGATTTTATCTTGTGATTATAACATTAACATTATAATTATTTAAACTAGCATCTTCGCACGAGCTTCCGCACTTGTGAGAGGTTTTAAAAAAAAAATTAAAAATTAAAAAAATTTAGAATTAAAAAAGATAATAGGAAGTTGTGTTTCCATAAAAATAAGATTCATTATTTGATTTTTTTTAATATGAAAAATGTGAATTTACCATATTATCTTCATTTAATTAATAATTTCAATTCTTAATTTTTGCATTAACTAAAGGCATTTTCTAGTATTTGAATGTTTTACCATTCTCTGCCTTTTGCTTTATATATACTAGCCTCATGCATGTGCCAATTGGTTTTATTTTTTATTTTTTATTTTATTTTTAGAATTAAGAAAAGATAATATGAGTAATTATGTTCCATAAAGTAGGACCTATAATATGATTTTGTTTTCAATTTTAATTTTTTTAATATGAAAAAATGTGAATTTACCATATTATCATCATTTAATTAATAATTTCAATTCTTAATGTTTGAATTAACCAATGACATTTTCTGGAATTTTGAATGTTTCATCATTCTCTGCCTTTTACTTTATATATATAGATATATAGATTTCATACTTATTGTGTGGTTATTAAAACATAATGAATAAAAAATCACGTGGATTACATAATAAAATTTGTAATTAATACCTGAAAAATAAAAATATATAATTTATTGTGGAGCAATAGTTTATCTCATGTAGGGATGGCAACAGGTCGGGTAGGGGCTGGGTATGACAATACCATCCTTGTCCCCGCTCTCCATCCCCCCCTCCCCCCCCAGTCCCCGAACCCATCCTCATTTAATAGGTTTCGGGAAATCTTCGTCCCCATTTCTGTCGGGGGACTATTCCCCATACCCGACCGAATCCCCCATTTTTTTTGCATACAAAATATTTATCATACATTTTAACATTAAGTTTCATATTAAGTTATCATTCAACACATCCAAATTAACTATAAAGTTCAACTCAACTATTTAAAATCACATCAATATGAAATTCCAAAGAAGATTAAAAAGAATTAGGAAAGGAAGGTTAACTTAGGGTTAAATATAAATATTATAAATATTTATTTATTTAAATATAAAAAAATATATTTTTGGGTCGGGTTTGGGGATGGGGACGCCAATACCATCCCCTCCCCATACCCGTCGGGGATTTTTCAAGTTCGGGGATCTCCATACCAGATACCTGTTTGGTCCCGAAATCTCCCCCTGTTAAGGTCAGGGATCCGCCCTCGCGAGATTTTTGCCATCCCTAATCCCATGCCCGTTTATTCTCTCTCATATTCTTGACTTCGCTAGTTGATAACTTCTCTCAATCTAAATAAGTAAAGATATCATAAAATTATATTTAACGAATCTCTTTGAGATAAAATGAGATCTTTAGCTAAAATTTGTAGAAATGTCAACAACAAAAAAATCAATCATATAT